ATCGAGTTTCGAATTAGTGTGTTCAGATTAACAAGGCTAGTTAGGATGTAGTTAGATGGATTCATTCGCCAGTGACAGATTCATACAGGTGGCTTTGAGCTTTGCTACTCGAATGTGGATTAACAATACTACCTGTTTGCCTAAAAGAAGTGAATGAGGTGGAGTAGAATTCAAATCTGTAACTTTGTCGGTGAAATGTGAATGCATTCAGCATTATGGCACTGTCTCACAAACTTTTTGATCTAATATTTACTGGTATTTCAATGTGATATGTACACCTAACACATCTCAGGAGTATAAATCCAAGATTTCACGTAAACTAAATATTGGGGAGATCCAGAAAACTCGGAAAAAGCCAAAAACTGCCCTGAAAACTCTGAGAAGCATCTTATCCAATCAGCGTTCGCTAGAAGTTTTGCCAGAAACATCAAGAAAGTGAAAAGTCACATGTAGAGTTTCTGATTGGATGATTACTTATACTGCTACTATGCTCCACAACATTCCAGATATTTCGGTAAACCGAAGGACATCTAAAATACTATAAAAACTCTATATTTTCTGTATATAAACGAACCCTTGGAGTAAAGTGTTTCTTACATATTTCGCGCCTATTCTCTCGTGTTCTAGCCTGGAGGTTACTAAAAGAGCTTGGGAACCAAATCTAGCGTTCAATTAGCAAAACTTATCACTAAACCAGTAGACCTTTGTAATTTTTGAAATGGTATGAATTTAGTTAGATTGTGATAAGTTTCTAGATTATCAACCAGAATAACTACAAGCGATACTGAATGGAAGAAATAAATATGTCAGATATTTGGTGAGAGATTAACGAATGTATTAGTTTATATGAGTCAGTAGTTGCTACCAAGTCAGGTTTTCCGTATATGAGAATGAAATCTGAGTAGGTTAGGTAAGTTTGAGTTTTAAAAATATACGAGGAAATGTGATGTTTACAATCGGGTTGTTTTGCTATCTTGTGTTGTTATTTGACTGAGCTAAAGCTAGTTAAGAGAATGAAGGAGGCTGAATCTGTTGCTTTCAAATGTGTTACCATTCTGATAAGTCATTAACAGCACCGAAGAGTGAATTAATAGAATGCTTTTGTAAATACATCGCAAAGGTTTCATATGATTTTAGGACATATGAACCAGGTTTCCAAGCTTTCGAGTCTTGTGATTGAAGTGTTTTGTGTTACGTAATGGTGGTGAATCGTGTTTGAGGTGAACACGTATCACTTGATTACTGAATACTTAATATTTACAGGTGACATTTACCCAAGCATTCGTCATGACAACGACTCCATCTTAAGTTAGTGGTTTTGTGAATAATCGCGATTATTGATTTGAATCAGGTATTCATCTTGAACCGTTCTCCGTGAACTAGAAGTTTACTAACCAATTAGTATTATTGTCAAATCGATGAACATGTGCTAGCACTTTACACAAATAATTTCATGTCACTCTTAAATCTCATACAGAATGTGCACTATTCCACTGAGTAACAGATGTAAGTTGCACAGATCATTAACCTTTAACTGTATAGCAGCTCACGTGCAATGGAGTTTGTTCACATTTAATTTGATTAAGCCATTTTCTTAACTTATTTAACGGATAGAGTCATTCGTACAATCACAACTTACCTTATATCAATTTACCTTTACCATTGTTGCACTTGTATGAACATGTATGCTTGAGCATTGCTGATTGCCCATGCATATATTCATTCAGCTAGCCTTACTGTTAGACGCTGAATCGATTCGATGATTCATCCATTTCCCTATGTATATATATGTACATTTTAATCCTATTCATTGATTCGACTTACTCATTCGACTCGCACGCTCACTCGCTTGTCTGGTAGCTTATCGGCACTACACTTTGATGTTTGTCTGACGTCCCTGTAATTTCAGTGATCTATACGTTGTGCAATAATAATAAACTTAATTAACACTTCATATTTGCCTTCTGATTACTACACTGCTAAGCTTTAATTAGTGACGGATACCAGTACGAACTATATACGAAGTTTGAGAATTATATTGAATACCGACCATCACAACTGTAAAACGATCTGCATACTACGTTCCATTGAATATCTGCTTCGATGGAAATTTGCCTAGATGTTTTGTGATGTTTTGATCAATCGTTACATGAACTTGATGGATCATAGTTAGTTTTCTTTAAGTAAGATATGAGCCATTTTATCGCTTTTACGATACATTTCGTATTGATGTTTATAATGTATTACTGTTTCTGATAATGTCATCACATCAAAAATCATCTAGGTGAATAGTATGTGTATCGCCGTTTATATTTCATAATGATTGATTAAATAAGATTAAATAAGGTCAAGTATAAAGTTATAATCATGGATGGAATTGATATACATTCAATTAGTGCTAATCAGTGTTAATCAACTGGTCATAATGATAAAACAATTCTCTTAACCGTTGTTTAATGCTCTTTCATTCCTATTTTCCCTCAGTCGATGCGCGTCTGTGGTAAGCGGTATTTTCAAATTCAACTGATCTATATAAAAAGTCGACCTGATTACTTATCCCATATTATTTGATAAGTAAAAGTCAACTAGGACTTATACCGAAAATACTGAATCCAGATGCCTCGGTACGGCTGAGGGAGGGGAGAGTGCGCTCTTCCACATGAAATGCTCTCACATGGCCACGCGAATACGGTCACTCCTATGGAAGTCTTACTCACTGCTTTCTGGTGATGGGGGTGTTGTTAACGAAATCGAGAGGATGAAAAGTGAATATCTGGTGTTTTAATGGGGTTGGTGGAAAAGAAGAGCTCATCTAGGGGAGTTGGAAAACTTTTATTCAAAACCAATGGTGTACATCAGTTTCAGAATCCTGAGGAAAATGGTATATTAACCAATTAATGATCACAAGTTTCCATGAGATTACATCTCCTGACGTTGCTTCACTGAATTGTGAACCAGACCTTTGAGTCGAAGCCTCCAGTTGTGGCCACCTCAAGGAAACCACTCGCTTCGATGTGGGCACCTGGGCATTATCACAGCCCATACACAAATCAAGCAAGTTGTGTGGTGGATATGTATTCCGTGGCCCTTTGTACCAATATTTATGTGTTCAAATAATAATAAAAAGAACAACCCATAATAGTTTATTAGACGTTTCTGAGTAGTAGTAAAATTTCAGTGTTGACTTTCGTCTACTCAAAATTAAATTATTATCATCACAAAAATAAGTGAATTTTCTAGTCAGATTCAATTTTATCACTGATAAGATACCTCTGAAAGCAAGATTCTCCGATACAACACAGTATGCACCAATGAAATCACATTTGACGGAGAAGCTTTGGAAGATGTAAAAACCTTTATATATCTCGGCTTCATCATTGATGAACACGGTGGATCTGATGCAGATGTGAAAGCGTGAGTCAGCAAACCAAGAGCAGTATATCGACATATGGAACTTAAGACAACTGTCAACCTACATCAAAGTCACAATTTCCAACACAAATGTCAAGATAGTTCTACTGTATGGGTCAGAAACTTGAGGAACTACAAAAGCCATCATCATCCACAAGATACAAGTGTTTATTAACAGTTGTCTAAGCAAAATACTTCAGATCCGTTGACCAAACACCATCAGCAGCAAACAAGATCCCAGCGAAGGAAGAAATCAGGAAGAGGCGCTGGAAGTGGATAGGACACACATTGAAGAAATTATCTATCTACGTCACGAGGCAGGCTCTCACTTGAACTCATCAAGATCAAAAGAAAAGAGGAAGACCAAAGAACACATTACGCCGAGAAATGAAGACAGATATGGGAAGAATGAACAACAATTGGATAGAACTAGAAAGGAAGGTCCAGGACAGAGTGGGTTGGAGAATGCTGGTCGGCCGCCTATGCTCTATTGGGAGTAACAGGCGTAGGTAAGTAAGATACTTTTAAAAAGTAAAATCTCTTTTAAGTGAGACTATTTTGTTCTATTTTACTTATATTACACTATCTTATCTCCGGTGATTTTACCTGAACCACTTCTGATTGAGATCATGAACCGATTGATATTAGACCACCATTGAAAACCTGGAAGCACTGGAAGGCCAACTCGTCCTATTGTGAGACACCTCAGCAGTGCGCATCCACGATCCCGCTCGTGAGATTCGAACCCAGGGCCTTCAGTCTCGCGCGCAAACGCTTAACCTACTGGACCACAACCCCTAATCTGTAAAACATTTCTATTTGTTAAAAACAATACAAAACGCCTACAATACAATACAAACAAACAAATAAATAAATAAATAATACAAATGAATCTGATTACATATATGATTGGTTAGCTAATTTGTTGTTTTCTTGTTTAAACCATTCAACACATGTAACTATATACAAAAAGAAAACACCAAAGAACAAAATTTCTTGTTACCTCCCAAAAAATATTTTTTAGGAAAAAAAGAAGAAAAAAAAGAGAAAAAAGAGAAAAGAAGAAAAAAAGAATAAAGATATATCCATCTTATTTGATTGGTTTATGTATGTTTAGTTAGTTGAATGAATAATTTATATATTGTGAAATGATTTATTATTGTATTTAATACATGCCTAATATCAATTCATTTACCATTTGTATTAATACAACCTAAACAACAATATATAGATACATAGATATAGAGAATAAATAAGCAAGTAAGTATAATTACAGTTTGTGTGTTTTTCTTCTGAATTGAACAATCATAACTTCTATGATAGAAGATTGACTATTCAAAGGAATATTTATTTATGAAGATTCATATTGTACATGTTTATCCATATGTTTTTCTAATGTATTAAGGTTACTATTACTATTATTATTATTAGTAGTATTGTTAGTATTACTATTGTAATCCAAGTTACATAACATGATCAATTACACAAGAAAAGACACATCTGGTTATAGTGTTTTGTAATCATAATCTTTATTAAATCTACTAAAATAGTTTTATTTTGTCGCCGAACCATACCATCATCATCATCATCAACACCGTCATCATCATCTTCGTTTGATTGTATGAACATCTGTATTTCACTTGTAGAACAATATTACAATTTATGTTTATATCAAGAAAAGAAAAGTTGGATAAAGATTATTCAAAAAAGTTGATCTATTTTTTTCTTTCTCATTCTCCCTGTCTCCCTCTCCCGCCTCTTTCTCTCAAAAGAAAAACAAAAAAAACCATCATGTACATCATACAAAAAAAGAAACTTGGTTTCTAAATTTGATTCAACGAATTTGGTTAGCAACAAAATTTCATCTTGTTAACGATAAATTACACACACACATATATATATGGATGAATGACTTTAATTAGAATACTATAGACAATAGTATATAACTACAAAGGTTCATTGTATAATCTACATGAATGTATACAAGATAAATAGATCAACTGGAAGACTATAATCATCTAATAATTGTTTATTCTCAAATGATAATCACTTATATTATACATTCTATTATATTCTATCTTGGATTTAATTTGATCCATCCATTTGGAATAAAGATTTCAGTATGTAGTATCAATTCAGGAAGTTGGTAAGTTGTAACCGATTTGTTTGTTTTTTAAATAATTTTTAAAGAAATCATAAGTATTAATAGTTAAGATTACGAATCGATTAATGTAAGAGCACCATTGAAAACCAGGAAGCAGTGGACGACGTTTCGTCCTAGTATGAGACTTCTCATTAGTGTGCATCCACGATCCTGCATTGCAGCATTCCAAACCACCACTTATCGATCTGGCGTCCACGAACGACTAACCTCTAGACCACTGTGCTCGCTGGCATCTATCGGTATTAATGTCTAACTTCAACTAATCCACGAAATCGAGTGACATATTCATCATAAGTTAGTTGTTTTCTAGAGTTGTATCACCATTTAGCTAAAGGTTAATCAATATAATTTACGACCAAAATACTGACAACTTATATGGTTGAACTAAGAAATATTGAATTCTATAAGAATAATATCGTTTGATTACAATACCACTTATGTTGAAATCGTTTCTTCAGTTAAATAAATGCATCTCTAATGCTTATGATTAATGACTAATCGTAAAATAAACACAGTTAGCAATCTACATTTATCGCTAGCATTTGAGTTTTAATCGCTACTAAAGATCAAGGTTACTTCAATATTGTCACTTCCAAATGAATTTCAATACAAATACTGGAAAATATATTTTGTCAGCATATAAAAGACAGTGACATATGGGTGAGGTGGGATCGTAGATGTGCACTGTTGAGGAGTCCCACAATGGGACGAAACAGCCGTCTAGTGCTTTCAGGTTTTTCATGGTGATCTAGCTTCAATTGACTCATGATCTCAACTACTAAAATTATTATAATATCCACAAAAGCCCTTCTGATACAATTATATATGTTGAACTTTCTAGAAGAAAGGAATTTCTAATACATTTCTCAAGGTTAACTACATTCTGTTTCTATGTTAATGAAAGCGTACATATTGTTGCAAACTGAAAACAAGCATAAGTTTAGGATTTCTATAGATACTACTATTTCAATCATTCTCTGAATCTTCAGTTCTCATTTTATTAATTAATTATTTATTTAAACTCATAAATATTGGTACAAAGGGGCACTGAATACCAATGTGCCACACAATTCGCTTGATTTGTGTGTGGGCTGTGATACTGCTCAGGTGCCCACACCGAAGCGGGTGGTTTCCTTGAGGGGCCACATCCGGAGCCTTCGACCTAAAGATCTGATCCACAAGTCAGTGGTGCAACATCAGGTTATGCAGTTCTATGGTAGCCTGTGACCGACAGTAGGTTCATACACCATTTATTCCTTCAGGATCCTAGAGCCCATTTCTACCATTGGTTTTGAATCAGGGTTTTCCGAGTCCCCTTTGTGTATCCTCTATATCCACCGACCCGATTAAAGCGGGTGTATACTAAGGTTTACTGAAACCTTAGCCATACGAAAATTCAAACTCTATTTTATGCATTCAAAAACAGTTTGTTCTCACCTTAAATCTACCCTGGTAGCATTAGCTTATTATCCAGAGTGATGACGTTGCAAACTGTTTTCACATTATTTCTTTATAATCCTTATCTCCTCTTACCCTTCATTTCTAGTCTAGTTGACTTTTTATAGTTTTAAATATAAATGTTCTTAACAAGTATATTATATATGATCCGATTGTTCGAAGTGTATTGCGCTAATATATCACATTCTCCTTCTTATTACGCTATCGGGAATGAGATTCTTTCGAAATTTCTATCAAGATCTCTTCAACCACTTGTTGTTGTTGTTTTTGTTGTTCGTCTCAATGCGAGACTCCTCAATAGTGCGCATCCACGATCCCATCTCGTGAGATTCCAACCCAGGATCTATCAGTCTCGCTCACGTGCAAACACTTAACCTCTGGGCCACTGAGTCGCCCGGTATTCAACAGTGTTAATGTATGAATTCAACTAATCCACGAAATCGAGCGACATACCCACCATTGTCTTCAGAGAGTTACTATCCCACAACAGACCTGGTTGAACTCCACTGGTCACTGCTTATCACTAGAATTCCAGGAAATACCTCTTGAAGCCAGTCACCAATGTTCAATGACGTTTAGTGCTAGAATACTATTTTCTTAAAAATTAATTTACTATTGAATGCATTCTATTCAACTGTAAATTATTGGGGGATTCCATTGCAATATGCGAATAACTTATTTTATCCTATAAATGAGCAATGAATAAGGAGTCTCAGTAATTTTAAAATTAATTTTCATGATAAATTTTATGTGTAAATAAGAGAACTTGTATTAAGTTTTATTCATTAGCATATGCTATAAAAGCCACTGATTTGTCGCATGATACATTCGTCGTTCAATAAAAATTGGATAACACAATGTGACAGCGATTTTGGCTAGCGGTGGAATCCAGGACGTGCGTTTCGTCCTATTTGAGACTCGTCAGCTGGATGTACATACATCTCTGAGTTAACGTTCACTCTGGGACTTGAAGCCAGTACCACTCACTTCAAACGCAATCGCCTTATCCAATTAGTTACTAATTCCTGCTTATAATGCTTGTGAATTAAGGCAATATCAAGACAATACGCACAGTATGCACATATGCCAATAGGAGACTGATAAATTACAGTCCTAAATATTAATGAGAAGATTCTAGTAAATAATACCAAATGACAACGATTTGTTATTATATGTGGGTAACATTTTACTTTCTGATTGTCATTGATTTCTGAATGTAGTTTATGGTTGATATTTACATTTCCCGGTCCTTGACTGAATGTCTGAAGTGACTAGATTATGAAATAGTGTTCCGATATGCCATAAATTGAAGGGATACAAACGATCTATAATTATCCAAGCTATGTAATTTAAGTATGTGAGAAATAGTTTATGCATTACTTAATGGTAGAAAAAACTAACTTACACTGAAGACAGTGGTGGAATAAAGATTAAGCGTTTGCACTCGCGAGACCGATAGATCATAGGTTCGTGGGCTCGTGGATGCGCACTGCTGAATAGTCCCATACTAGGACGTAACAGCCGTTCATTGCTTTCAGGTTTTCCATGGTGGTCTAGCTTCAACTGACTCATATCTCGACTAATAAAATTAGATTTTGTTTCATTGGTTTAGCTCAAAGTGGCTTATTAACATAGAACCTCAGTACTTACTTACATACTTACGCCTGTTACTCCTTGTGAAAAAGCATAGGCCGACCACCAGCATTCTGCATCCCGCCCTGTCCTGGGCAATCTTTTTCAGCTCCTCCCAGTTGTTATTCATCTTTTTCATATCTGCTTCTATTTCCCAAAGTAATGTGTTCTTTGGCCTTCCGCTTTTCCGCTTCCTTTGAGAATTCCAAGTTAGGGCTTGCCTCGCGATTCAGTTTGACGATTTGCGTAATGTAAATCCTATCCATTTCCATTGTCTTTTCCAAATTTCCTGTTGAGCTGGAAGCTGGTTTGTCTTTTCCCACAAAAGGTTGTTGCTGATTGTATCCGGCCAATGGATGTTGAGTATCTTGTGTAGACAACTGTTTATAAGTACTTGTACCTTCTTGATGGTGGTTGTTGTAGTTCTCCAAGTTTCAACTCCGTACAGTAGAACTGTTTTGACATTCGTATTAAAGATTCTCACTTTGATATTGGTTGAAAGTTTTTTTGAGTTCCATATGTTCTTCAATTGTAGAAATGCGGCCCTTGCTTTGCCAATCCTTGCCTTTACGTCTGCATCTGAACCTCCTTATTCATCGATGATTCTTCCCAGGTATGTGAAGGATTCTACCTCTTCCAGAGTTTCGCCATCAAGACCTTGCACTGTAGTCCGTCGTACGAGCTCCGGATAATATTGACAGTCTTCTCAGGAACTCCATATTGTCGAAGAAGTTTCCATAACGTCCTCCTATCTATACTGTCATATGCCTTTTCATAATCGATAAAGTTGATGTACAGTGTTGAGTTTCACTCAATTGATTGTCCAACGATGATCCGTAGTGTCGCAATTTGGTCTGTGCACGACCGATCCTTACGGAATCCAGCTTGTTGATCTCGAAGTTGGGCGTCTACTGCATCTTTCATCCAGTTCAGCAACACTCTGTTAAAGACTTTCCCTGGTATTGACAGTAGTGTATAGAACCTCAGTGTGGTTTTATTATTCGCAAGAATCATCAACCTATTCATAGAATCTGTTTTATATCCAATCAAGGTATGATAATTTTTGTAAATCCTTCAAGTCACAAGTCACTTGATTTATGTGCGAACCATGATACTGTCCAGGTGTCTAGATCTACTTCATGAAAAAGTGAGCTTTTCCGCCTGATTAGACAATCAATCCTAAACAAACCATCAAAACAAACTAATTTAAAGCTCATGGAATAACTAAAATCTCAATTCTGTATAAACGAAGTCATAAGGCTATGATTCAGAATGATATTGAAAGCTTTCTAATTATAATGTAATGACCTCACTTTTTCGAAACAAACCCCAACTGTTTTAGATAGAGTTATGTTCTCTGATCACTTAGATCATTTACATATTCCAGCTTAGCATGAATAATGGTTGGCAAAGCTTTAAACATCATTTTATACTAAAAACAACATTGTTGATGCAATAAGAAAACTCCGATTACTTCAGACGTATTACATCATAATCAACATACTATATTCAATATTTAAAAATATGGACCATTTAATTATGAAACTAACCCAATCACTTTCTCTACCACATCAAATACAATTAATGCAATTATATACATGATATTCTACAATCAACCTTTTTTTGTAAAGAAAAAAAGGAAAGGAAATTGGTGTGATCTAAATTAATCCTACTGATTTGTTATATAATTAACTGTTTTATAAGCAAAGATGGATATTGGCTAGTAGTGAAATCCAGAACACGCGTTTCGTTCTATTTGCGACTCGTCAACTGAATTTACCTGCATCTCAGAGTTGATGTTCACTCTGGGACTTGAAGCCAGTACCATTCGCTCCAAACGCAATCACATTATCCACTTATCTATTGAGTCCTGATAGCCACTAGCTGACGAG